ATGTTTTAATAGTAAAATTCTGTGAATTAATAAATTTATTACATTATGTTTTCTATAATTAAAGCAAAATATTATGTAATATAGTTATATAAAACTGTGCTAGGGTACAACTATATTTATATAATGATTAACACCGGGATTTGAGAGTAGAGAAAAATAGCATATGATATCCTCATCACAATGTCATCAAAAAAATTATTGATAAATACTTTTGTAATTAATAACAGATAAACAAATATTTCACAGATAATTGATAACAATTGTGTATATAATGAGCGAAAAACAAATGAAAAAATTCAATACAATTTTGATCAACACTTTTGTTAATCAAAGCGTTAATAACGGCACAAAAGAAATCATGAAAAGTAATGAAAAATTTATTTTTTATATTTTTTGCCGAAATTATAATTTTATTTCTAAACCACAGTTCAGTTGACAATCGTTTTGTTGGCAACTCTGGTGGCGATGGCCTACTCGCTGACCCCCGAAGAAGACAACAATATCATAGATAAGACAAAGTTGGCTAAAAAGTATGTCCAACTGATTGAGAAGTTTGGTGAGAAGGCCTGGCATTTCCTGGAGTGTATGGGAATGGATTGGGCCGAACACTGTGTGTCGCCGACCATCGGCTGTATGACCGCTAAGAGTATCGTCGGATGTATTGAATTGATTGCCTGTGAGGCCAAAGACGCCAAGTCTTGCGCTCAGAAACTCAACTAAATTGTGGTTTAATTGAATGAATAAATTGTATAATTTGTTAATAAGTTATAAATTTATTATCTAATAAAAATTAGCTTGCATAATATTATGTGCGGTAACAAGACTAGTAACCACTACTTCTTTCAGAATCGCATTATTAATTTGGAAATACATTATTAATGTAAACAAGTATTAGAAAAGCTATAATATAATTTTGTAGCATTATACAATTATTGTGTTACCCTTTGTTTGAATATAAATTTAATCAATAGATTCAATGAATGTTTTATAAAAACAAATCAATTAAAATAGTATTCCTTGAGTGCGTTTCCATATGTATACACAACCGCCACCCACACCGCCAACAATGGCTCCAGGTGCTAATAATGTTCCGGCGCTTGCTAAATGGTACATATATTGCATTAATACCTAAATATGCATTAGTTATTTAACAATATACCAGTTCCTCCTACTGTGCCACCAAGCACTGCACCAGTACCTACATGTGCCCAGAATCCAGGTTCCTTAGCAGCTTCCACTTTATGAATTTGGCCCGTGGTAAGATTCACATAATCATCAGCCTATGTAGTATTGTAGTTGCATAATATATATATTTGTCATATATGAAATTGTATAAATAAACAATTTAAATCATATAATTTATTCTGAAACTAATTATTAAATAAATTAAATAATTTGAGAATTTAAATATTTAATATTGCATTGTAATAATAATTGCAAAAATGTACCTGGAGAGAAAATTTTGTGCCATATTTCCATGCAGTAACCTGGTGCTCACAATTATGATGTATAGCATCATAATAAGTATCAATATAATCAGTGCTCTCAAGTCCAGCAATAGCATCATTAATTTGATCTTGCTCAGGTCGCTCTGTTAGACCACGTTTTTCAGCTTCATGTTTGAAATTATTAATTCTACATTGATCATTTCCCACAATCTCATCGCAATAATTAAGGCCTTTTATACCTCGACGGGGTTTGTCACTATACATTAGAAATTAAATTAAATTGACTGGAATTGTGGTTAAAAATAACAAATCAACAATTAAATAGTGTATAAAATTAGTAATTTATGCCTGATTTAACTCACTCACAATTAACAATCAAATCAATACTCAACGTTAGCGTTAACTGTATTAATTGAGTATTGATTAGATTGTTAATTGTGAGTGAGTTAGCTATTGTTACCCTATAAAAAAGTTGCTTTAAAAATTACTATACAATGAATCATTAATTTAAGATACTTATTTATTCACATTAATTCATATATAATAGTTATATTAATTCACACTTAACTGACCTATCATTTTTAGACTTTTTCGATGACCCGCCGCCACCCTCTTCATATATATGGACGCACAGGTAACGGCCCTCGTGTTTACGCCAAATGAATACGTAATGTTTATACTTGCCACGCTCAATCTCAATAATATCAGCAGGCTTAATTTGTTCTTTTATGTCGTCATAATTACTAAAACTCATTTTAAACCGATCTTGTCACAAAAACTTATAACTTATAATAAAACAATAGCATGTATTATTTTCAATTTTATTATTTGGCGCTTGTTATGTAAATTATAGTTACTATTTACACTTTACTAAATATTTTTTACTTTTTTCAAAACTATTGAAATCATAACAATTTATTGAATACTTACATTAATGATACAGTATATTAAATGTATGGCAGAGAAAAATAAGTGTTTGTCTGGCATATCACTGATATGATATCAGGCATATATGCAATACTGTATATTCTAGTAAGTAGTATTGCTTGCATTATAGCTAAATATAATTATTGCATGAATGGCCATGGACTCATGAGAATGTAATGTATGGCCATAGCCATGAAAAACTTGCCTGTGCTTGTTTACTAAATAGAGTAAACTTTACTTAACTGGTGACCTAAGTAGCGTAAAATTTATATAATAAATCACCAACTATTTATCTAACTAAAGTCAATTATTTAATTAATTTAAGAACAGTATAGACATCAAATAATGTGCTTTTTACATATGATCTCACATGCTTTACTGTGTTAAGGGTGCGAACCAGTTAAATAAATAAACAAATGCAAGTATCTCATGGCCATACATGCAATAATTATATTTAGCTGTAATACAGTATTGCATAATATGTGCCTGATATGCCTCACGTAGACAAACACTTATTATTCTCTGCCATACATTTCTATACTGTATTAATGTTAGTATTCGAAAAATTCTTATGATTTCAACAGTTTTTGTACAAAAGTAACGAATATTTAGTGAAATTTAGTATATTCTGATTTTAGGTAAATTTTGTATGCCTCAAAATTGTGATTAATTTAATTATCAGTATATAAATATGTTTTAATTATTCTAGTTTAATTCGTTGTATTTGAACAAATCATTTTTATTTTGTTTTTATATTCAAAAATTATTAAGGTAAATAAAATATCGTTTAAATTTATAACATTTTTATGAACACTTATTACTAATAATTTTTAAATGAAAATTCATTTATTGTTTTATTGTCACCTAGCAATGTCATCGAAATCTGGATCATTTTCGCTGGAAATTAAATCCAAATGTTGTAATAGTCCTAAGGAGCAAAATAACACACCAATTGGTGGCACACAAACTGTAATGAACAAGGACAAAACACAGTTTAATACTAGTGTCACCGCCAACGCACCATTATCAAATCCAGGGCAGTCTGTTACTAAGAAATCTAATTAAATGTACCATGACTAATATGAAAAGCAAATTGTGTTTTAATTGAGTGAATAAATTGTATAATTTGTTAATATGTTATAAATTTACTTTACTTCAAATAAAAATTTGCTTGCTTAATACAGTATATTATAGTTATATGATAATATTTATTAAGGTTTGCAATTAATATACAAATTAAATCAGCTATAAATTGAATTTTATTTTTCTATTGAATTTAATTGCATTTAAAATTAATTGAGATTACAATTGTATCAGTGTAATATAATTTGTTGTTTTAAAAAAATGTTTGATTTGTAAACTGCTTTTGAGCTCTATTTCAATTGAAATTTTTCTTTTTACGTAATGTAATAAAAAAGTATATGAATAGCGTTATCATAAACACTCCGAGAAATATAACACAGATCTGGTTCAATATATCGGATGATACCTGACTAATATAGGCTTATCTTTCGCTTCTTACAAGCATGTTTTGTTTACAACTAAATATTAATATCTTTTAACTTAAACTCATAGACTTTATACACTAAAGATTTTGATATTCAGTCGTAAGCAAAAAATGCTTGTAAGAAGCGTTTGTGATAAGCCTATATTAGTCAGGTATCATCCGATATATTGAACCAGAGATTATTAGTGAAGCGATTATAATAAAGGTTTGCGATTTGGACGGATTTATATGAATTGGTTTCTCATTACATTCCATAAAATCATTCAACGATTTCTAATATTTACGATTAGTATAAGAAAAAGATTTTATAAATTTGATACAAATCTTATCACTTCTGAACATACAATAGATTGCAATGAATCGCGAAAACTAGTGAATCGATAAACAAATTGTTTTCGGATTTTCTGTCCGCTCTTCTCTTCG